AATCCTCCATTAATTCCAATGCATCAACTGGTTGTTCAGATGCATATAATCGGCAGTAAAATTCTTTGAAGGTGTTATTTATGGTTTCACTGTCATATACGCGATCACTCTGAGCATCACAAATTGCTGTAATAACTTGTGTTTCTGATCATTTCTTGGTAAGATATGCCAAGTGTTTTCCATGTTCATAAAGTCTTTGTCTAGTAAACTTAAGGTTAATCTCCTCATCTTGCGTAAAAAGGCTATCTAAGGTTGATCTGACTGCAGCTATCACTTGCTGTGCAGGCAGGAGTGGGGGAGTCAGCATAAGTCCTTCCTTTTGTTTTAAGCGCAGTCATTAAAAGATTCTGCTTCCTCAGTTTCTGCCACCACTTACTTGTTGAGTAAGAAATAAAAATCCCTCTAGTGTACGCTTTAATAGTTTCCCACAATGCAGGTTGATGGACAAATAAACATCTAAACTCAGTGTTAAAATTGGATACAAATGTATAATCCCTTAAAATAGTTGTATTAGCTGTATTTAACCTCCAGTATTTTGCTCTATGTACCATACCTTTAAGAGAAAGATCCAGCACCACATTGGCATGGTCTGAAATTACAATACTATACTATAATATGGTAAATGGACTGATTCTTATATAGTGCTTTTCTACTCTCCTGGAATACTCAAAGCGCTCTCTACAACACGCTGCATTTACCCCATACACACCCATTCACACAAGCCCTATTATCTATGCTTTCTAGCTATCACTCATCCGATGGATGCATCAGAGAGCAAGCCTGTATCTTGCCCAAGGATATTTGGCATGCAAACTGGGGGGAGGCAGGGATCGAACCACCAACCTTCTGATCAGCAGCTGACCTGCTCTACCTCCTGAGTGCTACAGCACTCAGTTTTCACACGATAAAACTGAGTGTAATGATAGCCCTGATTTTACTAAAAAATTAATCAATCCTAGTATCCGTAGTAATCCAAGTGCCTTAGCTTGTGGTGTGTGATGGGCAGGGGGGGTAGTAAACATTCAATATAGAAACAACCGCACCTAATAATATTCCTATAATGACTATAATATATTGACTATAATGTACCTTCCATGCTTGTCCATGACACATTATATATTTGAAAAAGGGAGTTTTTTTCTTCACAAGGATTGCCACCCCTCTACTTAACTTACTAAACGAGTAAAAAAATACCTGTCCAAATCCACCTTGCTGTAATTTAAGGTGTTCTACGTCATCTAAATGTGTTTCTTGTAAAAGTGCAATATCAACGTGTTCTTTTTTCAAAAAAGGTGAGTATTTTTCTCATTTTAATAGGATTATGGACCCCTCTTAGATTCCATGTACACAAATCCGGTAGTACCTAACATGTTGACATCATAGCAGTGTCCAAGCATCCTGCTACATAATAACTATGCGACATGAACTCTACAAAAAAGGTGGATGTCAAGGCAAGTAATAAGTTGCTGCTCTTTCTGTGGCTTTTCATCAGACTTTTCCCCATTGCTGGGTTTCAAAAATGGCAGTTTAAATTTTTGTGAATAAGATGCTCTCATGACTCATCAAGTGACACTACTGAACAACCAATTGGTGGCATGTAGTATGATGATGTCACATTTTAGCACCTGCTCAGATCACTTGGAACCCAGGTCAAGCAGGTACTAAAAAAGTACTTGGTGCCAGGTACTATGACCTAATGGAAAACCCTGAAAACCGTGGCGAACTGTGCCGAGTCGATCCGAATAGTTACTAGTGGAAAACGCAAGCTTAACACTGAGACCAGGGGGAGACAGACAGGGAACATGGAACAGGGAGACAATAGTACTAAACAAGAAACGTGAAACACAGAGAAGGCACAGTGAGAGAAAACTAAAGTAAAACTAAAATATAACATAGTGAGAAAACAATTAAGAGAACCAAAACCACAAAGGACACTAAATCGAGGAATATTAATAAAACCCAAAAAATGACAGCACTTAAACATCAAAATTACACTTCAGAGATGCCAACTTTACAAGTCTTTTTTGATAAATCTTACTTTTACAAGAAGGAAGAAATTCTAAGAGGCTATCAGAAGTTAATTAAACTTAATTATAGTTAATTGAACTATTTTGCCTTGTCTGTATAAAAAAATACAGATTTTTTTTATGTTTTTGAAGGTTCACAATTAATAGTTATAAGAGAAGTTCTACTGTGCACAGAATATGACTGCTGACACCAGCATTTAAGATCTAAAGTAGCACTTGGCTGTTTTCATTTGTGTTGTTGAAAGAGGTTTCTTAAGTCCAGTGCTGTTTGTATACTGAGTTTCTGTTCCCTGTATTGATGCTGGGTAGTGTGTTACTTCAAATCAAAGAAGGCTGTTGTCTGAAGTATCAGTATTTTGGTATTTTTATGTTGTTATATATCTGTATTTGACCGTATTCTTAGCTTTACTGGGTTATATTAAATCACATTATTGGCACACCATGTTGATATGGATTGAAACCTGTGAGGAATGTTTGCTGAATCCTAAGAAGATTTAAGGCAGTTCTCAGGGCAAAAAGGGGTCCAACCTGGTATTAGCATCATAAAGTGCCTGGTAGGTGTATAAAAGAACACACAGTGTAAAGTTCAAACATGCTATAGGACAACTTATTTTTTTTCAGCTAAAAACAGAAGTTGTCAAAAGTGAAACATATGACAGAGTCAAAAACAACAGTCAACTTCATATTATATTCATATCTGTGACTTTAACACTTTGTATTTCTCAGAATACCAAAAAGTCCAAAAAGCTTTGTCAGGGATCCTGGGTCATTGAGTCAGTATTTTCAGTTTTGCCTGTTTTCCTGTTTCATGTTTTGCTATGTTAGCCTCGGTCTGTTCCGTTCCACTTCCTGTGTGTGATTAGTCAGATTCAGTCCAGCTGTGTTCTCACCTGTCTCTCATCATCTGGCTGAGGACCATGGCCTCAGAATTGGAGGTGCTGATTCTCATTCCCACTACTTCAAATGAAGCCAACAGAACCACCTCATCTGCAAAAAGCAGAGATTCTGAGACCACCCAAGTGAAAGCATTCCACCACTTGGCTACGCCTAGAAATTCTGTCCATAAAAATTATCAACAGTCCAAACAAAGTCCAACAACAAAACACAGCTTAGGTTCAGATCCGGGAGGCAGTTCCTCCAAATCATGTCCCGCCAAGTCTCACTGTCATTGCTCACATGACTGTTGAAGTCTCCCAGTAGGATAACAGAGTCCCCAGGTGAAGCACCCTCAAATACTCCCCCAGGGACAAGAGGAAGGCTCTGAACCATCATTTGGCGCATATGCGCAGATGACAGTCAGGACCAAATCCCCGACCCGAAGATGCAGGGAACACCAGGAGAAACCGCAACGTACAGGCAGCAAGCCAAGGGGATACTAAGATACCTACTCAAACTCCAGACTAAGTCCAGCCCCTCTCCAGAAAACTGGGTTCAGAGTCCAAGCTGTGTGTCAAGGTGAGACGGACTACATCTAGCCTCTCAACTTCATGTACTAACTCAGGTTCTTTCCCCACCAGAAAGGTGACATTCCATGTCCCAATAGCTAGTCTAGGTATCCTCCCCTCCTGGCCATGGCTAGGCACTCATTGCACCCGACACCCCACGGCTCATCCTGCGGTGGTGGGCCTGCAGGAGGACGGGCCCATGTCCCTTTTTCGGGCTGTGCCTGGCTAAACACCCAATGCCCAGCCACCAGACACTCGCCCTCGGGCACACTCCCCAGGCCTGGCTCCAGGACGGGGCCTCGGTAACCCTATTGTGGGCAGTGTGAACTGTTCCCTTGATCGTGTACTCATAGGGGTCTTCTGAATAGCTCTTTGTCTGGTCCCTCACCCAGGACGAATTTGCCATGGGAGACCCTACCAGAAGGCAAAAGCCCACGGACAACATAGCCCCTGGGATCCCTGGGACACACAAACAGATTCACCACGATAAGGTAGCAATTCGCCCAAACAATTGATAGGTGGAATAAGTGCTTTATAACTGTTGGCATGAAACTGTGCTGTGGTAAACCATGAACTAGTGGATCTGCAAACTTCAGAAATCTATTGGATAGCCTGTGAAGATAAGTAAGTAAATTAAAACATGGACATTATAAATTGCTGCTACTGTTTGGCCAATAGTGGGCACTGTATTGCTAATCTCTGGCTCTCTTCCATAGTTTGGTTTTTGTCCTGTCTTTCTGCCCATCAACCATACCATTCAAGGATGATGGCTGCCCCTTTATGAACTTGATACTGTTGGAGGTTTCTTTCTCTCAAAAGGGAGTTTTTCTTCCCCACTTCACCAAGTGCTTCCTCAAAGGGGGTTATTCAATTGTTTTGATTTTCTCTGTATTATTGTCGGGTTTCTACCAATATAAATACTAGACCTCCCGATAGCCTCTGGAATTTAATAAAGTCTCAAATTATGAAGCAAGTTTAGTCTTTTATAGCTCCTAAAACTATATCATTAGGTTTATTTTTTTGCTGGACATCTTGGGAAGAAAAAGGAACCTGTCCTCTGAACTGACAAAGTATGAGTTTACATGTTCACACTAGTTTCTCTTGTATATCTGAATGTTTTTCCCTCTCTAATGATCATCTGTCCAGATTTTCTTTCTGCTGTTCATGCAGTGCATGCTAGACCACCACCATTTGTGGAAATCATTTGAAAAAACACACTGACAAATTGTTGCATTAACAAGGAAAAGCGCATGTTTGTTTTGAGGTATTATCAAGAAAGGAACAGATGAAAACAGAAGTAAATGAGAACAAGTTGCAGACATTCCCAATGAGTTACTGCTGAATAAATATCCTGTCACACCAACGCTGTGAAAACAAAATCTATATCAGTAAAATGCAGAAGTTGGTAGAAATGAAATGAAAGAAATGAAAGGCGTGGAAACAACTTTTTTTTTTTTTAAATGATTCGCTTTAGTTTTAACACAGTGCTATTTTTGGTGCACAAGTTATGAGAAGCTCAACAGAAAGACTTCAGCAATGGCAGAGCAGAAGTTTAACAACACACCATTCAATCTAAAACCTAAAAAGCGATGCCAGTCAGAAGGTAAGCTAAGCTTTTCAAATACAGTGCATCAGCAAAAGATATTTTCAAACTCACGCTGTAGATCATGTAGATGAACATCACAATTAATAATTATAGGAGATGTTTTACTTGTACAAAGTATATGACTGCTGACACCAACATCTTTGTGTTTTTATCATTTCAAGCAATGTTTTTTCTTTAATGTTTTTTTCTGCATTATTAATAAATGTAAAAAAAAACTACCTAAACCAAGACAAGTAAGATGATGAGATACTAAAAGTGCTTCCACAAAAGACAAAATGTCCCTTGATAATGCAAGGTGTGGGTCTAAACCTCAAAAAATAAAATAAATATCAAATAAAAGCTGTCAGTGACCTCAGCAACCTGAATCTCTTGCCAGACGCCAGCAGCTTTAGCATCGGTGTCCTGGGTGTGTGCAATCCTGTAAGATGCTGCATGCCCTCTTGAGAAAGCAAGCTCTATACAGGTCCATCAGGGAGGGAAGAGGATGACCAATGATTTTTGGGGGCCATAATAACAATTGGTAGTGCCTTTTTATGTGCCATGGTGCAACTGGAGAACCAAACAGAGATGCAGTATGTCAGCACTAGGGATGTGTCGGTCGCGAACGAAATGGCTCTTAGAGCCGGATCTTTGACGTGAACGACGCGAGCCGGCTCCTTATCGTGAGCTGTGGGGTTTTTTTTCTTTCTCTCACCCTCTCTCACGCACTTTTTTTCCGCTTCACTCCGCACGCGAGCCTTGTGCTTGCGCTGAGCAGAGGAGGGGGTTACACTCAGTAGCACAGGAACAGAGCAGGAGGGAAAGCGAGAGAAAGAAAGAGAGCCAGGGACAACAACGTCACATTAGAAAGGTATAGTAATCATCCACAACTATTTTCAGTTGCAGATGATAAAGGATTCAGAAAGATTATTCATGCAGGCCCATATGACAGAGAATATGCATCTTCTTTTTGTTTTCATATTTTAATTTATATTTAATTGTGTTGTTTTGTGTTTGTTTAAAAGGAAAAAGCTGAAAATTTAAATAGTTAAAAGTTGAAACGTGAATAGTTGGTTTTTGTATTATATGATTTATTTATTACATTTTATGTGGAGTGAATAAATAAAAGTATATTTACGGTGGCCCCTACAGACAAAGCACGTACAAACTCCAAAACACCTAAAAACTCCAAAACACGTAAAAACTGGCACCAGACCAAGTTCTAAAAACACGTTATTATAACAGGTCGTAGAGCAAGTTAATCAGTAGTCTTTGAGGCTGCTAATGTTGGTTTGTTTAGGCAGTGGGATGAATGTGGCTGACTTCAGGCATGGTGGGATGCAGGATTGGGACAGCGAAGCGTTAAAGATCTTCGTGAAGAACCCAGCCAGCTGATCTGTGCATTCTTTTAAAAAGAGCTTAAATATATTTAAGCTTAATTATGTCAACAGATTTGCTGAATTCTGTTTTGTGCATAAAAAATAATCAAAAGATGCTTTGGAAAACTGTGGTTATTTAGTTAGTTTGGCGTTAATTAGTTACTAACTACTTACCCTTTAACCAACAAAACAAATCAGATTACTAACTAACTTTTCTTAACCAGGCATTTCTTTTTTACCTGCCATTTAAACAGTCTTTGTCTTCTGTTACAACATTGTTATTCAATTCTTTCAGTTAAAACGAAGGAAAACAGCGTGTTTGAAGAAATGAACATGAAAAATAAAGGAACTAAACAAACTTCTGACACAAATGGTGAGTTATACAAAGCAAAATCAAAACCACTACTTTTACTACAAGGCATCATGCAAAGTACTAACCAGCCTGTCTTACAAACTGGAAGGGTAGAAAATTTGGTGCCTCATAATCTGCAAATGACAGTGACCTCAACAGAAAAACAATAGCAGCAGTCACTGCTACTGTTACGACAGGAACTGATATGAAACTTGCTTAGAAACTGGAAGTGTGCTGTTGGCATTTTCCTTACAAGAGCTTAATGACAACATCCTCTCAAATCACGTTTTGATATGTACAGGATTCACTGTTATTGAAGTTTGATCCATAATATGGGCTTCACCTTGGTTTTGCCTCTGAACCTTTTCAAACAGATTGTTATGTTTTTCCCTAGACAATAATTTAAAAAGTTCATTAATTAGAATGGTTTTATGATTATAAAAAGCCAAGGGGCTAGTTGACACAACCAATTTAAAATCTTAAACGTAAGAATTAGTTTGATTGCTATAATAAGTATTTATTTCTCCTAGATAAGCAGTGTGCATGTATACAATCTTGTACATCAGTAACCATTTGCTGGGGTATTCTGTTACTGATCATGGCCCTTCGCATCTATTGTGAGTATAACTTTTAAAATTAGTTCATCCACAATGTGTGTGTAAAGCCAAAGAAGTGTTACGTTTTGTTTTTCAGTTACCACATTGTTAATTCATAAGAACAAAGACTTATTGAGGAGTCAACTCAACTGGACAAACACCTCCACTGCCTTTGAAACACAGATCAGAGACCTCATTGCAGAAAACCAGAACCTAACAGAACAAATAAAACTCATGAAGATGGAGCTCAGTCTTGGTCCAGGTCAGTGCAGTGTTGATGCCTACTGTCCCAAAGAAAATAACAGTAGGCTCCAATTCTATCAGCTACAAAAATAGCTAATATCAAATAAATGTGCACTGATGATCTTTATTATTTGATTTTTACTTCTTTTTTTACTTGCAGAAAAGGTTTGCAACACTTGTCGGGAGGGCTGGCTCCACTTTGAGTCAAACTGCTATGCAATTAATGATGCTGAACTTGGTGAGCAGAAAACCTGGGAAGAAGCTCGAGAAAACTGCAAAGGAAAAATTTCCGATTTGGCCGTTGCAATTAATGCAACAGAAAAGGTAATAAGAACTGTGGCTCATTAGCACAGATTTATTTAATGAAAATACATTTTCTTTTGATCACACTCTGTGTTGCAGTGCCTTAAGTAAAGTATTTGAGTATTTCTGATAACTTTCTCTTTCATCAGAAATATATCAGTGACAAAAGCTGGAAGAGTTCAGGAGAAAATGGATACTGGATCGGTCTGAGAGCTGAAGGTGGGAAATGGAAATGGGTGGATGGAAGTTATCTGACTGATAAGTAAGAGAAACTTTGA